CGATCCATGGGTTTCCTCATCGGAGTACTCCAAACCACGCAAATGGTGCCACAGCATCCGGTGGTGGATGGTTGAAAGAAGAGTCTGGTCAGATCACCTTCTTCAAATGACCTTGCCCCCGCGGATGAACCACAACTGTCCATTCTAAAGAATCTGCCGATATCCCTTTCCCCATAAATGCATCCGGATCAGGCAACAATCCTCCGACTTTTAGGTTAGGGAAGTCTTCTAACAACCCCTTTGTTCTATTATACCCCAATTCTTTCTTCCCTCCTATCTCCTCTTTCTTTTTCTTCCTTTCCCTTGTCAATCCCCTCCTTCTCTCTCTCTCTCTCTTCCACCAGTCATATCTCGACCTGTTCCCCTTTCTCCTTTGATTCCCTTCCTTTCTCTTTCTCTCCATTCAGCGCCTCGCTCTCTATTACTCCCCTTGCTCCCATAGCTCTCTTCTGCTCTGACTTCTCTAATTGAGGGGACAGCTCACTCTGTTGTTTCTCCTTTCTCTCTACAGTTCCTTCACAGTGCCATTTGTAAGCTAAAACCAAAAGCTTCCTGCTTTGGAAACTTTTGGTCTCCAAGGGGGGCAAATCTTTGGCACTCCAGATGTTTTTGGACTGCAACTCCCACAGCCTTTATCATTGGTAATACGTACAGGCTCAGGCTTTTAGGAGTTGTGGTCCAAAAATCTGCAGTATCAATGGCTCACCACCCCTCTGTTGTTTTTTTAGGTATACAAGTGCATTCAATAATCTTATTTCCTTCTTATCTCATGGTACAACCCACAAGGTTCTTAAGCTGCTATGAAGTGTACTTACCTTGGCATCTCTTGCGGTCATTTCTTTTACCCTTGCTCAGTTGCTCCAACCTCACCCCCCCACCACCCCTGAAAAAAACCCAGTCATGCAAATGAAAATTCCAGTGGAAACTTCCTTTATCTCAAATATGACAGGAAGGGATGCTTAGATGCTAAGTCTAAACGTTTTAAAAAATCCTTAGAACAATATACATTCTGAAAGTTTTTTTTTTTGAGCACAGGAAAACAGTAGATGAATATGGCTCAGATAATAGATCAGACTGACTCTTTTCTTTCGAGATGAATCCAATTGATTCAAAAGAGGTGTCGTTCTCTTCCCTCTTGTCAGGAGGGGGGGGGAAGGTGCAGAAACCTCCCATTAATGCCAACACTTTATCAAGCAGCAATAGTCTCTGGAACTCTAGTACAGACAGGAAAGGTTTTAGGGAACCCTCATTCCTCACATGTCACAATCTTATTCCTTACCCCACCCCACTGGCTGCTACTTCCATTTTTGAAAAGCTCCTCACAACTCCAAATTGTACATTGAATGCCATATGTGTGGTTTGGTCCAAAGTTAATACAGTACCTCCTTCAGAGAACTCATTCTAATTTCTGTAATGTTTATCAGGTCCTAAGGTTAGGGCTGGTAAGCTGTTTGAGATAACCATCTCAGACAAGAGATGCTTGGGGAAGAGCACCACGGTAGACCTTCAAGCTGTTCTCCATGAATTCTCCCATTGTGAAAGGCCACGCAGCACGCCCAGGGCCTCCACATTAGTCTGTCACCTCAGGCATTGCGGAGGACACTACCCCATCGCCAACATTAAAGTAGCTGGCAGCCCCACCCCACCCCAGTCCTATTAGAATCTATATAGAGACTTAACAGGAACCCCCCTCAGGCAACCTACCCAAAAGCTTATGTAAAGGCTGCAATCCTAACACCCTTAGAGAATTCTGCTTCCTTGAAGAAAGCAGGACTTGCTTTGGAATAAATATGCAGAAGATCGCACTATGAATCATCCTTCCATTGGGTTACCAATGACATCTTCTTTTTTTCCTCCTGGGAATGTAGGAGGGAGCTGCTGATGTTAGGGAAGATTATTCACTGCTGGTAATTTGCAGGCATGTTTTAGAGTCTCTTCTCAACCACACTGTTTCTTAATTGGTTGGTGTTAAGAGAAGGTTAAAAGGCCATGAGATGAGCCTTCAAAAGGCTCCTCAACTCAAACTGCACTTCAGTTATGAAAACAGCTGAGCTGAGTAGACTTAGCCTAGCTGGTACCTCCCTTACACTGTTTCAGCCTTTGCCTTCCATGTGCAAAATGGGGTGGGGTAGGGAGAGAGAAAACTGGTGCTTGCCTTATAGAGTAATCATATGGATTATCTTGAGAATGGCTAGAATACTATTGCATGCATAAAATTTGTGTTACTTGCCATGGCTAACCGTGGCTGGGGAGCATGCCAGTTGTGCAGCCAAGTGCAAGACAAAGCGCACAATTGGCACAACCCCTGGCACCTCACCAATTAGCCAGGGTGAATTACACAAATTTTGCAAGAACACCTGTAGGAATTTGGCGAAGATACGTAAAAACTAGATTTCACCCTCTCCTGCTGAAGGTTCATGATCATGTGACAGAACCTGACCTGCAGAGTGCAGATTTGATCCAGATCTTAAAAAGTTTGATTTTGGGGTCTACGGTTACTAGGATTCCCCTGCTCCCATCGCCACTGTAATTCTCTCCAAGCTCTTGTCATTCCCTGCACTCCTTTGACAGGACGAGACTAACAGAGGCTGTAAGTCAAAATCCACTTTTCCTTGCCTGTTTTTCTCATTCAGAAGCAAAAGTACACCCTTGACTCAAGGGAGCTTTGATTGAGACTGCAGGACTTTCCCCATTGTAGGTACCTGGGTGGAGGTGGGGGGAAGCTGACCCATTACCCGCCATTGCCTTCAAGTGGGCCTCCCCCTCCAGCCCATGTAAAAAGCGGTTGCTGAACAGGACGAGGCATAGAGCTTGAAAAGTTCTCTTTAGAAGGAAATTATTTACAGTGACAGTTCTGAGGCCCTCTGAAGCAGCAGATTGCCATTAAATATGCTATTTTTAAAAAGGAATGACATTTCAGTTCACATTTTCTTGAAGAGTAACTAAAAACAGCTCCTTTTCAGAAAAGAACAAACAAACTAAACATCTGAATGCTTACAAGGCACTGGCCAGCAGGACAAAATAGTTTCCTCCCATCCACCTCCTGCTCAGGCAGCCACAGGAGGCACCGACCAAGCCAACACTCAAACCATGGAAAGTTCCTCCTCCACCACTGAGGCCACGGCCATTAACTATTACTGTAACTAACAGTATTTGCTACTATTGTGTTTCTTCAATAAGAATTCTGGGGTGGAGGGGAGCAGGAATGTTATATCCATAGCAAAATGTATCTACACCTTATTTATTGGGAAAAGGGAATAACAAGCAACTTGTTGTTTCTGCTTAGTTATTTCCAAGCTCTGGATCAAGGATCGAATGAGGACTTGTAAATTTTCTTCTTCATAACAAAGAGAGAGAGAGAGAGAGAGTATCTCAACACATCAGAACATCCTACTGAAAAAATACTCAGAAAAAATGAGCAGCTGTTGTGACAAGACTAGCAGTAAAATAATTTTTAAAAAAACAACTGTGGTTTTGTGTGAACAGCATGTATTTTGTATTTTAAAACCTCATGTTTTGTGGGAAATACGCAGCTTTCTGTGCAGTGTACAAGGTTTTCCTGCACACAATACAGTTTTGTGTGTGTGTGTGTGTGTGTGTGTGTGTGTGTGTGTGTGTGTGTGTGCAGAAATTGTGAATTTTTCACAAGAAAGTGCAGAAACGCCACGGATGTGCAAAAACTCTCCTAGAGTGTTTCATGGTCATGCAGAGAGAAAACCAGGTAAAATATAAGATTTCCACTCCTACTTTGGAGGCAAGTGCTGCCAGATGGAGTAAGATGTGGGAGCACCCGTCTCACAGCCCAACAACAACAAAAAAACCTGGGGTACAAAGTGGGATTACAGGGGTCTGTATTCTGCTATATCAGTAAATGGAAGATCCGTGGTAGTTTCCAAAACTGGAGTTGATACCTGTAGAAAACCATCCACATAAACGGTTCCTCACAAGCAACAGAAGCATATGTATGGCTGCCATTGATTCTGTGGAAAAGCCAAACGACTATTTTGTCCCCTATAAATTGGGGGCAGAATGAGGTAGCGGCAGAGAGATAGAAAGTCACTGTTCCATCCAGCAATGATATCCATTCCCACACGGTTTTAACTGTTTCCACTCGTTTATTGACACAGATGGGGGCAGGGAGGAAGAAGGGAATCAATGAAGGAAACAACCCCCATCAGTTCCCACAAGAACCACAAGAAAATCTCCAGCTCAGAGCAACACAGCAAAGCAAATGTTCAGTCTGACAAGGGCAGGAAGGGGGGAGAAGGACAGGTGGCGGAGGGTGGGATGAGGGGTCTAGAGGGAGGTCACTGATCTGCCTGACCTCACCCTTCTTCACCACGATCTTTTTCAGAGAGGTGGGCAAGGGGCCTAAGAAGCCAGCCCCCACCCCTTTTTGTAGGGCACCTCCGGACTCCACTCAGAGAGGCCAACTCCCTCCTGGCCAGCTGGTGGAGCTGTCCTTTTAGAGGCTGATCCTCCTTCTACACCTAAAGGGAGACGAGCACACTACAGGGATGGTTCTGACACTAACTTAAGCGGAATATCCAATGGTTAGGCCCTCACCCATCCGATCGCCCAAATCTCCCTCTCACATGACCCATTTGGCTTTCTCCTTCCCAGGGCCTGGAAAAGCCAACCTTTGGGACAACAACTGCCAGAATCCCCCAGTCAGTATGGCTTTACTGCCATGGAGATCCTGGAAACTGTAGTTAAACAAAAATCACTCACTGTCCCAAGCTCTGCTTCCTCTCTGGAATGGCGATAAAACCTTGCCTAACTCACCAGAGCTATTTAACAGAAGACAAAGGTCCTGAACCAACCAGAGGTAAAGACAGATGTGGTATCCTATGAGGATGCAGCTTCCCAACTTACATCGCATACCTACTGGCAAGACAAGTCCTAGAACTGGCTAATCACTTCTTATGTCATCTGTCAGTCCATAGTCATGTTCATGAAACAGGCTGGTTTGACGTTTTTTGTTTTTTTTTTTTAATTAAAATTGCCTGTTTTGTCAGCACTGCATACACATCTGTGGTTAGATGCCCTGTTTTTCTTCTTATCCGAAGAAACAGAAATACAGAAACCTCATACACGTAGAAAAACATGTTTGCAAAACTGCCAAACTGTTTCAGGGCATGGAGGATGGAGGTGAGACTTCATCAGCACTAACCAATATGTACTTATCATGGGTGACATCTTCCTGGTTCAAAGTGGACTGTACTTTTAAAAAAACACCCTGCAGAAATCTTTCTCATCTCTAAAGTGCACTCCAGGGCAGAAAAACATATGTTCGTTTGGAGGGCAGTAGAAACACAATCAGCATTCATTCTTCATTCGTGAAATGCTGCCTCTGCCTTCACATGGATGGAGCTTGGCAACAAAGCCATTTCTCTTCTGAAGACTAAATCAGAAGGTGCCCCCCCCCCAAAAAAATGCCTAGCCGACTGGACCTTGACCCTGATCTTTTTAAACTCAGGTTTGGACTCTGTCGGGCCTACTCCTAGCAATGCAAATGACTGCTTAACCTTCTCCTCTTCCATTGTTCCCACACAGCTGTTCCTCTGTTCTGGTCTCCTTCAATTCCACAGGCCATTTCCAGACTGCAGCTACCATTTTGTACCTCTCAAGGAAAGGCGAAGCCTCTGATATCTATTTCATAAGCGGGGGGTGTATTTACTCCCCCCCCATCACCACCACCCCCTTGCCCCTGCTCCCAATTCTCCAGCACACGGCTGTCCTCTGTGGCGGACACAGATGGAAGTGAGGTGAGCACACAGAAGGATGGCGATGGACCCACCGGCCAAGTCTGGGGTGGGGGTGGGGGTGGGGATAGGATAGGATTTTGGTCCCAGGCAGGGTGACTTGGACCCCTGCTATGAGCAGTCTGGACAGCGGTTCACTCGATTGAACTCCTGGGCCCCTCAGGGCAAAGTTATCCCCAGACAGGGGGAGCAGGAAATGAAAGGACACCCCCTCAACCCTTGGGCGAAGGTGCTTGGCGCAGCGTCGTGGCTGTGAAGCCGCATGCAGGAGGGTAGCTCATGCAAAGGGCAGCGGCCCAGGCTCTTCGGACACCTGCAGATGGAAAAAAAGGGGGGTGTTAAAGACAGGAAGTTATTGAGGAAAGAAGCACCATCCCAGCCCCAGAGAATTCCCATGGCCAGCCTATAAGCTTCCTATCAGCACAGGGTAGACTCCTCCAAATTTCCTGGGTCTCTAGCATTTCCCCTTTTGGAAGCCATGGACGCCTACAGATGGAGAACAGTCTGTAAGGTGGATTGGCTCCCTCTGTTCAAATTCAGCAAAGCCAACAGTAGTGTATACAATCATGCACAAGTATATGCATGACCCTCCATTATTATTGTTGAACTGCAGTCCCCATCAGCCCTAGCCCACATAGCCAGTTCTGAGGAATCATGGGATCTGCAGTCCAACAACATCCGGTATGTTCCCCAGCCTTGGTGTAAGGGAGTTTTTTCCTGAAGTATGACACACTGCTGACACCATCATCCCCACTGCCTGGTTTTGTCCTTCTAGCCTTGAACACAATGCAGCAGAAACCTTTTTAAAATGCAGAGGGAAGACACTGTACCTTTGAGAAAGCCATGGGCTAGAATAACCTGACAGATAAACTAAGCCAGACACCCATCAGTCACAGACCAAGACAGCCACCCTCAGCAGTAGGGCACAGGAATGTGGGTCCACTGCACCACTGTCCCCACGGATCAGCAGCCGTCACACAAGAAGCCAGAGGATCCCTCACTCTCTAAACTGGAAGAGGATGGATCGTGCACTGGTGTCCCTGGTCTTACAGAAGCCCATGTACGCACGCCCTCCAGTATAAACTGTGTATGTGGAAAGCAATGCTCGCTGTGTAAGAACAACGCATAGGATGAAATGCAATTCAGATTTAACATTTTCCTAGCTCAGGGTCAAGACAAATTGGCTAGCCAGTCCAAGGACTGTCCTCAGTCTGCTGGCAGCAGGGAGATGGAACATGGAGGATGGAAGCAGAACAAGAATACCGCTCTGTCATCTGTTCATGGTTTCCTTGCCCTGCTGCACAGTTTCTGATTCTGTACTTCAGCAGCGCCTTGACAAGCAGAAATTAAGCAGGCAATTTCCCCCCTTTATCTCCATGCGGAGGGAAGCTCCTACTGCTTCATTTCTACACAACCAGCTGCTGTTAAAGGAACAAAGCCACGGCACCCTCTTACATCCAAGGAGCTCCTTGCTGGCGAAGCAGTTCTCTCTCACACACCCACCTCTCTGGTCACCATTTCCCATTCTGTCCTCCAGACGTGGCCTCTCCAATTTCCTCCCCCTCCGCACCAGGTCCCAGCTTGGTGATATGGCGCAAGAAGGACGTGGCATTGATTGCTCTCTGGAAGGAACAGGGACGACCAGAACACAGTCAACAGAGAACTGCCTGGATTGCTCTTAAGTCATTAAGAGCAGTTTTGTCTGCAGGTGAAACTTTTCCAATATTTATTTATTTATTTATTTCATTTATACCCCGCCTATCTAGTCAATTGTGACCACTCTAGGCAGATTACACATGAGGATAAGCCCCGGATAAATAATGTATCCGCATGGCAAGCTAGCTGCATACAGCAAGATTTCATTTTCCACCACATGCCCATTCAAAGCAAGAGCATGAGGATAAGCCCCAGATAAATACTGTATCCGCATGGCAAGCTAGCTGTGTATAGCAAGATTTCAGTTTCCACCACATGCCCATTCAAAGCAAGAGCTTAGAAAAGTATGGGGTTTTCTGGGCTGGGGGAATCTTGGAAGTTGTAGTATCCCTTCCCCCACCCCCACCCCAAAAACCCAGAAAACTAACTTTTCCAAGTAGGGCTTCAAATCAAGCACTGTTTTAAAAAGGTACTGAATCTTGCTTGTTTTGGATTAAAAGTGAAACCCTCACCTTCCATTGGCTGCGAGCAAAGTTCTTCTGGATCTGTTCACACACAGAGCCATGAATATCTTTGTCCAGAGCAGTATCACCAGAAATCCTGAAATATATGCAGGGGGGGGGCAAAGAGATATTCTATTAAAAATTTCCCCTTTTTGGTATCAAAGGGTGGTTCAACTGACCTGGTGAAACAGCTGTACAATTTGCTTTCTGACCACTTCATACTGGCCTGTGAAATTTGCAGTGCACCTGCATTCTACCAGTGGCTGATACGATGCACACGAAAGTGCAGAGAAAGTGCTGATACAGTCTTGCCTGGCAAGACAAATGTAATTCGTTCCGCAAGAAGCGCTGTCTTGTGAAAAAATCATCTTTTGAGATTCCCTATGGG